CCCCCCTTCCCCCCCCCCGCAGCTGGAGGGGTGTCCCAACCAGCTCCCACGCTGGTTCTCCACCTCTGCCTGCTTGGACCCCCACCATGCCCACAGAAGGTGGGGGACCCCCTGTGCTGCCAGGGCCACCTGCAAAGAGCTCTACCCCACATGGGTTTGGGGGGTGGGGGATGGAAACAGTCCTTGTTCCCCCTCGGTGAGCACAGGTTGGGGGGTTCTGGTGCCCTGCCCCTTGGTCGTCGTCTCCCCCCCCCTTGGTGAGCACAGGTTGGGGGGTTCTGGTGCCCTGCCCCTTGGTCGTCGTCTCCCCCCCCCCTTGGTGAGCACAGGTTGGGGGGGTTCTGGCGCCCGGCCCCTTGTCCCCCCTCGGTGAGCACAGGTTGGGGGGTTCTGGTGCCCGGCCCCTTGGTCGTCGTCTCCCCCCCCTTGGTGAGCACAGGTTGGGGGGTTCTGGCGCCCGGCCCTGGCTGGCAGACACACAAACACCATCTCTAAACTGCAAACACTTCTTTGTTAAACAGGCTACAGGTTGTCGGCAGTAAGTGCTTCCTACACAAGAGCTGTAACAAATCCGTGGCCGCTCCGTGGTTCCCGGCCCCCCGAGGGCTCGCCCCAGCTCCCCCAGCCAGGGGGGAAATCTCCCTCTGCCCCCCTCGGGCGCCCCGTGCCCAGTCCAGCCAGTGCGGGGCAGTGGGGTGCACTACGTACAGGCTTCTCTGCGTCGTGGCTGGATGCTAGTGGTTACGGGTGTGGGCGGTGGGGCTGGGCCGCTGGATGTTCAGGGCTGAGCCCCACTGAAAGAGGGGAGGGGGGCAGCATCCAGGCTCCTCACCCTACCCTGGGGGGTTTTCACTTAGCAAATTGTGCCCTGTTAGCTGGACTCCTAGGCCCTGCCCCAGGGAGCCGAGCCCAGCCCTAAGGAAGAGGGCAAGGGGGCTGGAGGGGCTTGGAGCAAGCACTGCCAGGGAAACAGGCCTGGAGCAGGGGCCAGCCAGTGCTTAGAACCCAGGTGTCCTGGCTCCCGACCTCTCCTCGTGCAGCTGGACAGAGTGGGAACAGGGCGGGGACCGGGGGGGTTCCCGCCTGGGAGATTGTCTGAGCAATGCCTAGCAGGGGCAGGGGGCCTGAGGACAGAGCCCTCCCCCTCCAGTTAGGTACAGCAGGGAGGGTGTGACCCCACGAGCTACCTGGCGGGCTGTGTTTGGGGGAAGGCCGGGGCGGGTCAGCCAGGGCTGTGGCCGGGCGGCCAGGCTCCCTGGGCCCGTGGGGCTGGTCTGACAGCGGGGAGGGGGGTGGCTGAGGCCGGGGCCCATCAGTAGCTGTCCTTGGCCCAGGGCCGGTTGCGTTGCCAGTTCCTGTCGTTGTGGGTCTGCTCGGCCTCGCGCTGCAGGAGCCGGTCCTGCGAGTCGTGCCCGTTGGCGCTGTGCAGGCCGCTGTTGTGGTGCCGGTGGGGCTGGTACAGCTCCGGGTAGGGGTCCAGGTACTCGTCCTCCAGGGGCTGGGAGCTGCGCTGCGAGGCGGCCGCCCAGGGCTTGCGGGAGGTCTCGCTTGTCTCGTCCGACTGCATCAGGCTGTCGTGCTCGAGGGGGGAGTGCTCCCCACCCCGCTCCCCCAGCAGCTGCTGGTTCTGGGGGGCAGAGAGACAGGTCAGGGCCCCCTTTCAGCTGGACAGGGAGCGGTGGCTGGGCGAGCAGAGTGCGAGGGAGCTTCCCCTGCCAAACAGCTTGGGGTGGGGGAGGGCTTGTCTCACCGTGGGGGGGGGGGCAGAGGGAGCTGAGTCAGCTTCTGGGGGTCCCGTGCCTGGCTCTGGGTTCCAGGGAGCAGTGCAGAGGGGGTGCAGCAGTGCAAGGCGTTGTAGGGGGGCACATAGACTGCGCCTGGCCCGGTCCCGGCCCCCTTAGCCAGAGGCAGAGAGCTAGGCCGTGACCCCTCGCTCAACACAATACGGCCACCTCTGGGATGTGGGGCAGCAGTTGGCAGGAAAGGACACTACCCCCCCCCCTGCGAGAGGGGGGCACTGAGGCAGGGTGCTGCATGCCAGGCTCTGGGCAGAGCCCGTGTGAGAGCGCCCTGGTACCTGCAGGCCCGTGATGGCGGCGGGTGGCGTCAGGAGGGGCTGGCTGCCCAGCGGGTGCAGCGGATGGTGTGTGGCTCTCCAGTACACCTCCAGGTACTCGGCCAGGTGCTCACAGGCGTCCTCCAGCTGGTTCTCGTCCAGGATCACGTCAAAGAGCTCCTGGGGGGCAGGAAAGGGCCTGCTCAGGGGGGCGGCTGGGCTGGGAGGGGGCCTGGAGCAGGCCCTGCCTGGGCACACCAGGCTGGGGGCGGGGGCACACAGCCCGAGCTGTGAGTTTGCGGGGTCCCACCTCCAGCCCCGCACTCACCGGCGGGCACTGCACCAGCTTGTCGGCCGCCATCATCTGCACGTTGAGGTGCTTCACCTGCGACTTGCCCCGGGATTTGATTAGCCGCTGCAGCACCTGCCGGGGACAGGGGGACAGTCACGGTCTCCTGGGCCGGGTGGAGCGCCCCCTCCCCCAGCCCCATGGGGACCACCCCTCCTGGGCCAGGCGGAGCCCCCCCCATGGGCACCCCCGCTCCTGGGCCAGGCAGAGCCCCCCAGCCCCACGGGGAGCCCCCACTTCGGGCATGGATGGGAGATCACTAAAGAAAGGCTGGGGGGGGGCACTCCTTGCTGCCCCAATGCTTCGCTAGGGGGCGCTGTGCTACAGGGGCTCAGTAGGGCCCCCCCCCAGCACAGCCCTGCTGGTGCAGCCCCCCCCCCCCCCAGCCTCGCTCACCTTGGGCGAGGACACCTTGACGTAGACCACGATGGGGGCCAGCGAGGTCTTGGCCAGCTGGGTCGGGTGGTTGATGGTGTCGGCGTCCAGCACCACCAGCTGCAGGGCCTTGGCCAGCTCGAAGATGCGCTCGATCTCGCTCTGCACCTCGGCTGGGGGAGGGAGCGCATGAGCCCCCCAAGCCCTGCCAGGCGGGGGAGGGGAGCACCCCTCCCTCCCCTGCGGCTCCCCGCCCCCTCCCTGGGGTGCCTGTGCTGCACAGCACAGGGGAGCCGCGTGGCACTGCCTGGGCGGCTGGGGAGGGGCTTTGCACTCTGGGTCCCAGCAGCCCCTAGCCAATCGCTGCCCCCCCCACACACACATCCACGCCAGGTCCCGGGGCGTCCGGCAGGGGTGGGGGTGGGCCGTGTCCTTCGCTCGGGGGGGGGGGGTGGCATCTGGAAGTCTCCAGTCTGACCTGGGCAGGGGACCCCAGGGCAGGCTGATGCCGCTCCGCCAGACCCCATGGTGTGTGTGTGTGTGTGTAGAGGGGGCTACCCCAGCTCTGCCCACAGCCCCCCGCCCGTGGCACGACTCACCAATGCTGGAGCGGGTGGCGGAGCGCTCGATGATGGCGCGCTTGCCCGGGTTGTTGAGGACGGAGCGCTTGGCGAGGGACAGGTCGGCGGTGACGCGGGTGATGGAGATCCTGAGGAGGGAGAGAGATGGTGACATGGGGGCAGGGCCGTCCCCCGGGGGCCAGGGCAGGTCTGACACCGGCCGGGCTCAGGGCTGCCCCAAGGGGGAGTCGAGCCCCAGGGTTCTGGGGCAGGGGGACGGACACAGCCGGGGGGGTGGGGGGAGCTCACCTGCCATCAAACCTGTGCTTGAGGAAGTCGAAGAGCGCTTTCTGCATCATGTCCGTCACCTGGGGGGCAGAAAGAGCCAGCGCGGTCAGCCAGCCCCAGGGATACGGTGGATGCCCTATGCCAGCCTGGTGCTCCATCCCATAGAGGGATCGTGCCCCTCCCCGGGGGCTGGGGGTCAGCGAGGGACAAGTCCTGTGCCAGCCCTTCCGCACGGGCACGCCGGGCAGCAGATGGCACCAGGGAAGGACATGCCAGCTGGGACGGGAGTGAGATGGCGGCTGTGCCAGGATGCCGCCGCCTTGCCATCTGCTCGCCGCGGTCATGTGGGCCCGCAGTGGTGGGCAGCAGGGCTCCGGGGTGGGCGGGAAGGTGCAGGGGGCGAGCCCAGCCGGGGGCAGACAAGGACAGAGCCCCTGGGCCTGTGTCTGTGCATCCAGGCGTCTCCAGGGGTGACTGTGTGCACCGCTGCCCACTGCTGGACAGGGTCTGAACTGCTCCGCTGTGTGTCAAAGCCCCTCTCCTGCCGACAGCAGGCAGGGACTCTCCCTTAGCTGGCTGGCAGGGCCTGGGCTTTGGGAGCCTGGGGCTCTGGGTTCTGGCCCCATGGTAGCTGCAAAGCCAGTGTCATAGGAGCACAAACTTATGGGGAGGTGGGGGGGGGCAGTGCTTACTGCATGGGGCGCTGTGCTGGGAGCTGACCAAGGTGTAAGAGGGGGGTGCCTGGGAGATCCCCCTGCCACATGGAGCCCTCGGCGGGGTGAGAGGTGTTCCCACAGTTTATTCCCTGGGTCCTGCCCCACCCCCAGGCAATGGGGCTCCTCTCCCTCCTTCTGCCTCCCCCCAGCGATGGGGTATCTCTCCCCTTCCCTGAGCAACAGGGCTCCCCAAAACAATGGGGTTCCTGACTCCTCTGGGGGCCCCCCCAATCTCACCCAGTTCTCAGCCCACATTCCCCTTTGCCAGACAGACCCTGCCCCAGCACCTGCTGTGCCGGGGGCGGGGACATTGCTGGGGAATCCCCCACCCCAGGCTCTGCCCATGCCCCTCCTACCTCATATCCTTTCAGGGAGGGGCCCACCAGCACCACTGGTCTCATGGAAGGAACCACGTCGTAGGGCGGGATGTGCTCTGCCTGTGAGAGAGAGAGAGGGGTTGGGGGCAGGTGAGGGCCCCTCAGCGCAGGGGGGAAACCGGCCCGGAGGCGAAGACAGAGGGACGCTGGATGGCCAGTTTGGGAGGGACCTTAGAACCAACAGGCTGGTGTTCATCAAAGATCCCCAGAGAACACAGGTGTCCTGGCCAAATCCGCGCCCCCATAGGCCACTGAGGCCGGGCCTCCCTAAGCCCCACCCTGCAGCCTGAGTTGAACACAGGGATCTCTCCTTCCCCTCTGGTCCCAAATGGCTCCGCAGTTACATGCTGGCGTGCTCTGCCCCAGAAGTGGCTGCATTCCACAGCAGCACCCGCTCTGAGCCTGCAGGGGGTGCACAGCGCTCACGCTGCCCCCTGCTGGCAACCAGGCAAAACCTGTCCTGACCACTCACCGGCTTTTGCTTCTGTTTAGCTTTTTGGAAAGGAAAGAAGAAACAGGGTTGGTGAAAGCAAATTGGGAGCCGCAGAGAGCGAGGCGCTGGGGGAAACTGAGTGTGGGGACAGCGGGGTCA